GATGGGGCGATCTACTTCTGTAGTGATACTGCCTCGGAAACCCAAGGAGGGGTCGCTATGAGTCAGGTCCGACTCGACGGCACACAACAACAACACTACAGAAGTAGACTGCCCAGTCTTCCTTCCAAGGAGTGGCTGGTGGGTTTCAACTGCCAGCCTTCTGGTTAGCAGTCAAATGCCTTAAGACTATGCCACCAGAGTTCCTAAAGAGGCATAGGGATTAGGATCTACAATACATCACAAAATGGAGGACAAGGGCTAGAAGGGCCATATAAACAATTCACTGCACTGCAGGCGCTCCTGGGGTTCCAATAATGTTTCTTATCCATTTCTTAATCTGGACGCTAGGTACATGGTTGTGCTCATTTGGTAAAGTCTTATCAAGCTGAACACTTTTGATTTGTGTACTCTTTTGGAGAATGTTAGACTTCAGTAAAGTTTATTTTAAAATAAAGTAATAAAGTCACTGCTCAGGAGGTACAAAGTTTCTGTTTGGGGTGATGAAGTTTTGGAAACAGACAGTGGTGATGGTTGCCCAACATTTGAATGTCATTAATGTCACTGAATTGTACCCTTAAAATGATTAAAATGGCAAATTTTATATGTACTTTATGAAAAAGGAAAAGAAACTGGAGGAAGGTTGCTAGATGTAAAATTATCTTACAAAAACCAATCATTTCTCTAATGTTACAACATTGCATGTAAATACTCTCTTATTTTCTATTTTTTTTTTCAAGTTAGTTACTGATGGTTTAGAGAAATGATTGCAATAGTAATTAAAAAAAAAACCACTGCCATGGATTCCAACCCATAGTGATCCTACAGGGCTGAGCAGAACTTCCCTATAAGGTTTCCAAGGTTGTAAATCTTTATGGAAGCAAACTGCCTTATCTTTCTTCTCCAGAGTGACTGGTGGGATGAAACTGTCCACCTTTTGGTTTGCACCTGAATACTTTTAACTACTGAGCCACCAGGGCTCCTTACAGTGGTAACAAAAACTATAAAGTTCTTAGGAAGGAGCGTAATAAAAAATGCACAATTCCTTTACCAAGAATTTTAAAACTTTACCAAACCCTTTGCCGATGAGTTGATTCTGACATATAACAACTCTGTAGGAGAGAGAACTGCCCCATGGGGTTTCCAAGGCTGTAATCTTTACAGAAGCAGACTGCCACATCTTTTTCCCAAGAAGCAGCTGGAGGGTTTAAACTGGCAACATTCCGGTGAGCAGCCAAGGGCTTAATTTAACCACTGTGCCACTAGGGGTCCTTAAAACTCTACTAAAAGAAATAAAAGACAATCTGACTAAAGGGATAGATTATATCATGTTTGTGGTTGGATGACATCATTGTAGAGATGTCAGTCTACCCAAATTGATGTATAAATTCAGTACAGTCCTAACCAAAATTATATATGAAAGTTCTGAGGAACTACACAAATTAATTTTGAAGTTTAAAAGGAAAACTCAAGATCCACAAATAGCTGGGGCAATTTTAAAGAGTAGAGAGAAGAGGGGAAATTCACTGTACTAGACTACAAAGGTTTTAAGAACCTGCATGCACTGCCACTCAGGGAGCCCTGATAGTACAACTGTTAAGTGTTCAGCTGCTAAAAGGAAACTTGGCGGTTCAAACCCACTCAGCTGCTTTCGGAAAGAAAGACCTGACAATCTGCTTCCGTAAAGATTACAGCCAAGAAATCCCCATAGGGCATTTCTACTCTGTAGCATACAGGTTTACCATGAGCCAGAAACAGACTCAAATGGCACACAACATGCAACTGCATAGTGATGCAGTAGAGGGACCTAGGGACATGGGAGGAGGGGCTTGCTATATGACAAAGGGGACTCCATAAAGCAACAGGGAACTGCATATGAGCTGCATAGGTGACAATGCTGAAAATACTAGAAAACAAGACTGTCTGAGACCACCACTTTCCATCTTAATCCAGGCAGGTTAAAAATTTAAGGTAAAAAGTAAAATGATAAAACAGCTAATTGAAGAAAGGTTAGGTTGTGTGACATAAGTGTAGGGCATACATAGCTTTTATAAACAAAACTCCACAAGCACAAACTATAAAGTAAAAAAACTGAATGGATGTAATTATATGAAAATTATGAATTTTAAAAAGTAAATTGATTAGGCAATACCTAGCAATTTCTCATGATGGTCTGAGGGATGGTGAGTTAGTCCAAAGGCTGAAAAAAAAGTCATCAGGATCCATACAGCCAGAAAGAGGAGCCACTGGGATGACTTTCTCTTTCTGCTTCATCCTCCTGGGGTAAACTGTGAACAATTAAAATCTGCGTGGTTGGGTGTTTTTTTTGTTTTTTTTTTTAATTAAAAATTTCTGTTCCTTAAAGGGCACTGAAGTTAACAGCTAATGGGGGGAGGGAGTGCTTCTTCAGTCTAAAACTGACAAGGGATTGACTTTTAGACTATACCAGGAACTCCAGCAACTCAACAAGATTAAAAAAAAAAAAAAAAAAGCCCCCATTTTAAAAAAAACTGGGTAAGAAAGAAAAGGCTGGAGGAAATGAGTAGGCAGATTGCAGAAGGGGAAACCCAAAAGACTAACAAATATATGAAGAAATGTCCAAACCGATGAGGAATCAGGGACATACATACAAATGAAAACAGTAATAAGATGCCTCTTTCACATCTGTCAGGTAAATACTAGAACAGTGGATACAGTATAGGATTACCCAATAAGTAAGGTAAACACGGGGTTACTCGTGCTTACTTACTATTAAATTTAAGCACGGGTTTACTTGTGCTTACTTACTATCATTTAATTACTTACTAATTTGTACTGAACAATATCATATATATATATATATATATATATATATATATATATATTTTTTTTTTTTTAACAACACATCAGATTGTACTTCTTGGTATGGCTGGTATCTGTCTCCTTCCCAACCCCACAGCACCATCCTACAGAAATAAAGCCTCTTCAAATTTACAATCTCTGACAGAGTGCCTGGTAAGCAAGTTAAGCATGGGCTTACTTGTGTTTACTTACTAATCTGTAGTGAAAAGTTTTACACGTTTTTCACATCAAAACATGTAATACTGTTCACTGCAGATTAGTAAGTAAGCACAAGTTAAATCCGTGCTTACCTTGCTTACTGGGTAGTCCACCCCTGACCCCCAGCGAAAGTGAAGATGTGAGACAGACCTGCTTTCTTGGAAGATAATCTGACAAAATTTAACTAGGTGTAAACCTTGGGATCCAGTGATCCCTCTCCCTATATATACCTCAGAAAAATCCCAGCTGTAGTTCATGAGGGAGTGCACAAAGACACTACAAAAGTACTGCATCTACAATGTGCCAGACAGTGTTCTGGGAGCTGGAGAACACAGCATGGCACATTGTGGATGGTCAATAAATATATGCATTGTGAATAAATGAATGGAGGACATGGGGGCAGCAGAGTGGGGCCTGTATCATGGAGAACAGAATATGAGTGGGGGAAAAAAATCAAGGGAGGGGTCTTGCCTAGATATACGATGATGTCCATAAAAACCATTACTAATCCTTTTTTCAAACTCATTACTATGATGAACTAGGCTGTCACCCGCTTGTCCAGCTCTACTGCTTTTATTCTCCTCCAATCACTATGCTGTAGCCAAGAATGCCTCTGCAGCTCCTAGAACATCCTGACCACTTCAGGGCCACAAAATGCCCTCTTTGCCTATAAGCTCTTCTTTCAGTTCTTCAAAAAGCTGGTTCCTTCTCATCCTTCAAGCTTCAGCTCAAATGTCACCTCCTCAGAGTAGTCTCCCCTAAATCCTATCTAGTGCTTCCTTTCCCTGATCATTATCTTATTTACTACACTCTGTGGTCCTCTTGTTCACGGCACATTTCTACCCAACAAATATAAGTTCCAATAGGACAGGTGCCTTACCTGCCTTATCGTATCCCTGGCCCCTGACACAGTCCAGGCACTCAAATATTGCTGAATGAATAAGTGAGGGAGAGATGGATCAAAAGGTCTATGTAGGAAGCTGAAGTACTGAACACACGAGGGATTGAGATTGGGAGAAAATGGGAGTCCTGATGTAAGTCCAAAACCGGGATTGTGGGGCTAGAGAAGACTGATGGAGAGAAGAGGCTGGACAAGGCACCAATCCCCTTGAAGCTCTGGTAACAGTGTTTCTGCATTAATGTGCTAGGGTGTTGGGGTCATGGACAACATTTTTCCTTTAAAATGTCCAATAGCGTTACAGCATTGTTGATATAGAACAAAAATCAGGAAATGAAAAAACGTTACCTTCTATAGTAACATTTACTCCTCACAAACTCAATGAGGAAGATGTATTTGCTACATTACCATAATATTAACTAATATTCTAGCTGTGTTCTAATTGACGAACCCTGGCACAGAGCTGTTAAGCCTTGCTCACTAGTGGTGAGGCCATGATGTGAACTCTGTTGTAATTTCAAACCCTGTATCTTTCCTTTACAATCAATGCAATTTTAATTAAAACTACGTGTATTGGCGGAAAAAATAGCTAGTTGTACCAAGTGTAGAAGCCCTGGTGGCGCAGGGGTTAAGTGCTCGGCTGGTAACTAAAACCAAAAGGTCGGAGATTTAAACCCAACAGCCACTTCCGCGCGAGAAAGATCTGGAAGCTTCCTTAAATTTACAGCCTTGGCAACCTTGAGACAGTTATACTCTGTCCCATAGGATCCGCTATGGGTCGGAATCAACTTGATGACAAGGGGGTTTGGTTTTTTGGTTTTGGTCCCAGGTTACCTGTGTTGATAAATATCACTTGACTTCTCTAGGTTTTGGCATTTAGTGCCATCTGATTAAAGACTGCCACCATAACAGAAATCCGAACCAGCCTCCTCGTCCCCTAAACCTGCCAGCCAATCCGGCCCACGTGACCTAGCTATTTTTAAGTCTTGACCTCCCTATCTCGCGGGATTTTAACTGTTACTCGGGACCGAGCCCGCCCATTCCCTCACGCCCAACAACCCTTTACCTCCCGGCAGCGATCAGCTTCTGGAGGAAAGTGTCCACCATAGTGTCGAGGAGCTTCACCCTCGAGATGGTAATGCCAGGTAGCACAGATTTTGGGGACGAATTCTCAGGCCCATTTTCGTCACAGCGGTTCCCTGTATCACTGCTGCTCCCTTCGGCCATAGTGAAGGCGAACCGCCAAATCGAACTTGTCTGCCCGCCCCGCCCACAGAAGCCTCCGATTGGCTGTTCCTGGCACTGCGAGGCTCCGATTGGCAATGCCGCACTGCCTATCACTGCCTCTCGCGGGACAGGCGTGGGGAAAAGAGGCGGAGGATTTAAGCAGAAATGAGATTGTTGACCCGGTATACGGATGGACTTTCTCCGCATGCTGGGCAACACAAGCATGAGCCGAAGGGCTCAATAAAAACTTTTAATTACACTTCAAAGACTTCGTACAGTACAGCAGTGAATACCCACTGTTAATGTTCACAAGAGTCTCATCTGCATTTTCGTTCCAACGTCTCTCAATACTCTCATCAGGATCTCAATACTCTCATCAGGTTTCCTGTCGTGCCCTCTTCCAAAAGTTTCTTCTATAGTTTTGGCCACGAACCAATGTAAAAAATTCCAGCTGGTCAGGTCTCTGGTTCTGAGGAAACGGAGCAGAGCCCACTCTCTACCCACTGAATGCATCTCCCCCAAGACACGTTTTACTCAAAGCCAATCCTAGTCTCTAAATTTACTACATGAGAATATAGGCACCAGGGGCCTCCTTAATTATACACACATTGTCCTTTAAAACTGTGTGTGAGAGAAAGTTAACAAGACAAAGGGGGGTGAAATACCGTACAAGAAAACACAGCAGTCCGAGAGGGAGAAAAACACTTAAAACATGAGAGGCAGGAGATCACTTCCAAATCCAAGATACTTGACCCACTTTGCCATAGTGAGGAAGAATTGAAGACAAGTCTCTAGAGAGAAGATAGGGAGCTGAGAACCAATCTATAAAGGTCTCACTAGGAAAAGCTTGAACAGGGGCTCCTTGAAAAGGGGCTCCTTCTTTCCATTATATTGGTAGTTCTTAGGATGAAACTGTGACTGATGGGTAGAAGATTCAAAATGATCTGTGGGCCAAACCATTCGGATGACAACTCATGGACAGAAATTATAAGCCTCCTTTGATAAAGTGTAGGAAGAGACAAATAAAAATAACTGAAAAGGGAAAAAACCCTCAAAGATAGTGACCATAGATGGGCAGTGTTAGTGGTAAAAGTAGAGAAATACAATTTTCAAATTCTGATCTGGCCAGGATGAAAAAATGTGGGGCAGCCATGGAAGTATCAAGGCTTCAGGTAGCTAGCACCTTTCAAATTGGCACCATGGCCTTTCCCAGCAGGTGGGACCAATAAGAAGGTTTGAAAGATTGTCCAGTCCAGATGTCTCAAGTAGAAATTCAGGGTTTGACATGTCTTCTCATTCTGTTTAGTGTAGCTCTCTGCTTGCAACACAGATGTGGTGGTAGAGTTGGGGAGGCAAGTTGGGCAGGGAAGGAGAACCCAGCTCCCAGGAGAGTGTCAATAGACAATCTCGGCAGTATCAGGCTGGTGAATGCAGTAGTCCTGGTATGGGTGACTTCCTGACCCACTCTTTACTGACTGGGTACCATGATTGGGTTAACTCTTCACATCCAGGGAGGAAAAAAACCAAACAATTCCACATCTCAGAGATTCCCACTGAGACAGCATTTGTTTCTGTGAGTCCCAGTGATTAGCATATACACGTGTCTGTCCAGGACTGCCGGGGGCTAAGAACCTCCATTTTGCTCTAAGGCTTGGCTCAGAGGGCCTGGGGAAAATATGCTGGGTGCATACCTTCTTCTTGTTGTTTTCCAAACCAACTGTTCTCTCAGCCCGACTTTCCAGGGTAGTGCCCCAAGTCTAATGTGCCCCAAACAACCCAATCTACTTAGAACTGTGCCCACCACTGTAGTCATCTGGGCCAGGGGAAGCCAGCAGCTTATATTGTCCCAGGGCTCCTGTGACTTAAAGGATAGGGAACTGGGACTGAGGAAAAAGCTACATTACATTTTTCCATCTGTCTGAGGAAGGGGTGGGCTCCAACTGCAGGACTACTGCTTTAGCAGGACCAAGACAATAGCCTGCTTCACAGAGGTTATAAAACAAAACAAAACAAAAACCCACAAAATAAAGTATCAACATTTCTCTCCAACCTAATAATTCTCCAAAGAGAGGATGGATGAGTTCTCTTGGGAACCAGAATTTTGCTACTTTTACTCCATGTGCAAAGTGCCTGCCACCTTGCCCCAATGGCCGGGGAAAATAGAGTAATCTGGTGGACAGCTCAGCTCCTAAATAAAAATAAGTGAGCCTAAAAGATGAACTGGCAGAGGGCTGATGGCAACTGCTTGGAGCATAGGCTGTAAACCCCGGGAGAGAGACCGGTGGTAGTAAACAAGCTCTATGTACAGCTCTTCTCAGGATGTCAGAACACAGATGGAAGGGGAAGCCAGAAGGGTTAGCAGGTGGGGGTTTCCTTAGGGCAAGATAGAGTACAGGGACTGAGTGAGGGAGACTAGTTTGGCAAGAGAATTAAAAACAGTGGGGACAAGAGGTCCAGGCTTAAAATCTCCTTGGCAAAAGCAGTTCAAAGTCTCTGTTCTTGTCCCAGACAGGCCACCTGGCCCAGGGCAGGGCTGAGTGTGTGGTGGGGGCGCCGGAGAGGGTGCTGTCCTCTTCATTCTGCTCCCGACCCAGTAGTGTGGGAATGGCAGGCTTCTCTCCCCACCACTGGTTACCAGTGTCTCGAATCCACCAGCTCAGGTCGCAAGCTGAGCTTTTTGAGGCTCTCATAGCCCACCACGATGACGATAGTAGAGGGTGTAGCTGAGATGATTCTGGCCGAGAGGCCCTTCATGAGGCCCCAAGGCCCCTCCTCTGCCATCAGCTGTCTGAAGGTCAGGATGATCGAGTTCTTGCCCTCAACCTAGAAAAGTCAACATGGTGAAAGGCCAAGGCCGTTAACTGCAGTCAAAGTTCCTCTGCTTAATCTCCCTCTGCCTAGGCTAAAGTGGAAGAACTGAACTTGGGAGTCAGAAAGGCTGGGTTCTGCTTCTTAGAGATGCAGTGATTTATCACAGGCTCTGGTGCCATACAGCCTGGGTTTGAATCCTGTTCCCCAACTTACTAGCTGTACTTAACCTTTCCATGTCTCAGTTTCTTCAACTATAAAATGAATAAAAAGAGTACTTATAAATAAAAGAATACTCATAAATACTGAGAACAGTACCTGGCAGATAGAAAGTGTTCCATAAATGTTATCTATTATCAGTATCATTATATATAAGCTACATAGCTATGAGTCTTTGGACTTTCTGATCTCAAGAGGATGGACTGAATCTCCTCTAAGGTCCTCTGCAGCTCTCCCAGTCCATGATTTTTATTCTGATCATCTTAATCCTTCCTGACTCCCAAGGCTAGAGTCCTCCTGTCCCCATTGTCTCCCATAACCTCTGTGGCCTGTTTTCCTTATCTCATTGGAGGCCTGGCCAAGGAAGGAGCATCTTCTCTCATAACAGCCCCTGCCCATCATCAGACAAACTATACTGTTAAGAAACTGCCCCAGCTCAGACTCTCAGCTGATGCAACCATGGGTTGTAGACTGATAGAGAGTTAAGGGAGCAGATACAGTTGGAGGAGATAGTACAAGTAGTCCTCGACTTCCAATGCACTTGAGTTACGACGAACCACATTTATAACTGTCCATTGTTTTTGTGGGTTTTTTTGGTACATCTTATCCTCAGTAATATGTACTCATTACAGTGATGCAGTATGTAATTTCCTGTTCTAATGCCAACCCCCAAAGACAAATAAAGATTAGGTTTATATTTATAAACTGATAATATATTGATAATAAAAGGTAATGTTGTTGTTATGTGCCATCAAGTCAGACCCGACTCATAGTGACCCCTCCTTGGGTTTCCTAGGCAGTATCACTATGGAAGTAGATTGTCCAACCGTCCTTCTGAGGACTGGCTGGTAGGTTTGAACCGCCAGGCTTCTGGTTAGCAGTCAAGTGCCTTAGGCACTACACTACCAGAGCTCCCAATAAAAAGTAATAGTGAAAACCAAAAAAAAAAAAAAAAAAAAAACAAGTATTCGACTTACATTAGAATCAACTTATGATAGTTGTCAGCAGGTAACCCCATCGTAAGTCAGGGACTACTTGTACTGAAGAGGAATTGGGTAGTGTAGAAACGGCAGGGAGGAATGGGGAGATATTCTTAGCCGTGGACAGGATCATCATGTGAAACTGATACAATAAAGGGGGAGATATGAACAGCAAGTACATCTGTCCTGCACTGGTTGAGAATCTGTTATTTTTCTTTCCTCCCCTCCTCACCATAACCCAGTGACCCCACTGTCCCGTACACCTTTCTTGATCCTCTCCTGTCCCTCTTCAGCTACTCATATCACACATTAAGATCCCCCATTCTCTCCACTTAAACCTTTATACAGCAAAATCCATTTTCTTGGTCTGAATGCTTGTATAATTAGTCTTTGAGTTGACTAACCTCAGGACAGCACCATCAAGTGCTTTTCTAAGGAAACTATTCAAGAATAGTCACTCTCACTGTCTGGAGAGAGCTCAGAGCTTAGAGGAAAAACCAGATTTATGACAGAAATAGGTATTTCTAATAACCACAAACCTGCAAGGTAAGGAAAGTGAGGTTGATAGGTTATGCTGATAGGATGATATGCTGGAAGAAATCAATGAATCTTGGAGGTGTAGGCATGTAAAGGAGTAGAGGTGTGCAAGGCAACAGACAGCATAAGAGAAGCATTCTAGTGCTTACAAACGTTCAGCTGGTATATGTAGATGGTAAGCAGTAACCACAGGAAGGACTTGAGTGACCAAGAGAAGACTGGCTGGGCTAGAGGGCCATGAGACAAGGAGGTCAGAGAAATGCTAGAGGACCAGAAAATCATGCTTCTAGCAGCTTATCTAAGAAGAGAGGGAGGAAGAGCTGGTCTTACCTGCACACGAGTTCGGATAACATCCATGGGATTGGTGAGGATAGAGGCAGTGGCTGCAGCCAGGGGCCCCGAGATGGCTTGAAAGACAATGTGAGGGCACTCCTTAGGACAGAGGTATGAGAGCTGCTCTGGAATCAGAAGAAAGACAATGCCTTAAGACATGAGGTACCACCCCATTCAACCTCATTATGTTTGCTGCTTCTACCATGTGGCATTCCCAACAATAACCAATTGTCCATCTTTTGCCATCTTTAGACACGTAACTTCCATCTTTTCTTCTGTCTGCTTCCACCTGCCTCTAACAAAAATTATTATAAATATCAGACACCTTTCCAGATGTCATCTTGGTCACGTCACCCATTTGAACAGAACAAGATTCCTCTGGTTCCTTTCACCCAATGAATGGAAAATTCTTCCTGATACAAAAACCTAATGCTTCTTTCTCTACTCCTCCCAGACTCATTGGCTAGAAAAGCATACATGACATATTAGTTTATATATGTACAGAGTAACTCTGGTAGTCTCTAAGGAAGGGAAGCGGGTAGCTGAGGAGCCTGTCCATTACATGCTCGTTCCCACCTTTTGAATTTCAAACCATGTGAATGTTGACAAATGTTAAAACATTTAAAAATAAACAGAGAAAGTCATATCCAACAGTGAGGATTTTTCTCCAGCCCATATCAAGAAAGAGAAATTCATTTTTCTAACTGCTAATGAAAAGGATAGGATAGTACATTCCCAGTATCACTAGCAAGTCCACCTACAATTGAATTTTTTGTTTCATCCTTTGGAGGTGAAACACAAAGAGTTCATTCATTTATTCAACAAAGCTGTACTGTATGATTACTATGGGCCAGCATCCCTAGGTCCTGAGGATGTAACAATGAATATAACAACAGCCTCAAATTCCTGCCCTTATGAAATTTACATCCCAGTAGGGGAAGACTGATATCAATCAATAAAAAGCAAAATATATAAGACAGGGGATGCCAAGGATAGGGAGTAAAGAGGTTGTCATTTTAAACAAGGTAGTCATGAAGACCTTTCCAAAAAGGTGAATTTTGACCAAAAACCTGAAGGAGATCTGAAAAGATATGCAGGAAGAGGTTTCTAAGCAGAGGTAACATCCTACCAAAGGCCCTGAGGCAGGACCCCACCTGAAATGCTCAAGCATACAGCAAGGCCGGTATGCCTGGAGCAGGATGAGTAATGGCAGGAATAGGAGAGGAGGTCTGAAAAGTAAATTCTTTAGGGTCTTGAGGCCATTCCAAGAATGCTGGCTTTTACTCTGAGTGGGATGTGAAACAGATTCATCATTTCCAAGATTCCCTCAGATTCTTCTGCAGTTCAGTCACCTTAATACCTTTAAGAGTTTTTTTTCCTCCTGTTCCTAGTTTTGGTGGGCAACTGAAGACTTGGAGAAAAACAGGGAAGTAGGGATTAGCAGGGCAGAAGTGGGTGCTTCCGAGTCCCAGAAAGCATGGCAGGATTCCTAGAGCCCTAGCAGAACCACTTCTCCCCTAGTTTCTAATCACTTTCTTCCTCAGTGTCAGCATACAAAAACAAACAAATTGTTGGGCAGCTCCACCTTATGGGTATTCTATCTCTTCTGAAAAGAGGGCATTTTGCAATCATTAGTAAGTAGCATCTAGACTGGTACCACCAGACTCTTGGGCCTGTATGCACTGGTCCCAGGACTGTAAGCTGCAGCAGGATCCATTTTCCAACTTTAATCATGAAGATACGCCATATTTCTGGGGTTTAGGGGGAGGATGACAAAACAAAGGTAAGAAGGTAAGAGAAAGAGCCCCATATGCTTCTCTTCTCTGTTACTCATTCAACAAATGTTTACTGAGCACCTATTTTCTACAAGCCAAAAGATCAACCCAGGCAGACTTGGCTTAAGTTCCTCTTGGGTAAATGACTTTGGACAAGTAATATAAATGAGTATTAATTTATTGAATGCTTACTGGATGCCAGACATTGTGATAAGCACTGGACACAAAACAGAGAAATGGGCAGGGAAATGCCTTCATGGAACTTATATTCTAATTAGGGAGTGATTGAACACTTACAGTTCATCAGACCCTGAGCCAGGTGTTGGTAGATACAACAGTGGACAAAAACAGACATGGTCCCTGTTCTCATAGAGTTGCAGGCCAATGGCAGAAAGAGACACTAACTTAACAATCATATCAATCAATGTATCACTACAAATTCAGCTGAGTATTCCAAAAGATAAGTGATGCACTTTCATGAGAACATATGAAAAAGGAACCAAATCTAGACTGGGACATCAGGGAAGGTATCCTGCAAGGACACCTACATCACAAAGTTGTCGTGAGAATGAAACAAGGAGAGAGAGACAAGGTTTCAGCACAGAGCCTGGCACCTAGTGGGCATTCAGCAAATGTTCATTTCCTCCCTTCCAAGGACTTTGTTAATGTAGTAGAAGAGGTAAGGCACCCAGGAATAACATTAAGGCAAAATGTTATAAATGCATTAAGAAAGATTCAAACCAAATGAGGATGGCAGGAAGGGAAAGATCACTTCTGGGTTGTTACATGGACAGGACAGGAGAGGATGAAAGCAAGGAGCACTTAGGGTAAGTCATGGTTTCACCAGGGATAAGTGGACACGGAAAGCATTCTAGGCAGAGGGATGGCATGAAGAAAGCACAGAGGTGGGAGAGAGAATGTATGGTTGAGGAACTGTGAATAATCTGGACTGGCTGCAGCCTAGACTATACATAGGGGAACAGCAGATTTCACTGGAAAAGGAAGTTGAAGCCAGCTTGAAGAGTTTGGATTTTACTCAGCACACAGTAGAACTGCTCAACATGATAACTAAGGTAAGTTAGTCCATTAGGAATGTGTGCACTGGATGGGAAGGAAGAGAGTGTAGACAGACAAAACAGCTGAAAAGTTGATGCAGCAGTCCAGGAAAGTGGTACCAAAAGCATGGTTCCCAGAGAAGGGAGTAGAATGGAGAGAAAGTTGGAGAGGCAGCCTGGAGCCACCGAGACTAGATGTGGGGACAAGGAAGAGGGAGTGGTCAAGCATCAAAGCTTCAAGCCTCAGTGATTCAGAGAGTAATGAGGCCACTGACAGGTGAAAAGTAAGTCAGAAGGGAACACTGGTTTGGAATGAAGGACAGTTAACTGAATAAAACTTTAGATGAAAGTAGATGTATCCAGATTGAGACATCCATGAGAACAACAACAACATTCCCTCTATTACAAGCTCCTTGAAGGCAAGAACCATATCTTATTCATCTTTGAATCCTCTTGGCGTATAAGGGCTCGATAAGTTTGCTAAACGAATGGCCCATTCTCCCTTTCCTTCATTTGGTGGTGTAGTTATGTACCATCGAGTTGGACCCAACTCATAGCGACCCCTCCTTGGGTTGCTGAAGCAGTATCACTACGGAAGTAGATTGCCCCATCTTCCTTCTGAGGAGTGGCTGGTGGGTTTGAACTGCCAGCCTTCTGGTTAGCAGTCAAGTGCCTTAGGTACCACGCTACCAGAGCCCTTTTCCTCCATTAAGTCTCGCCTTTTCTCCAGCATCTCAGCCCCATTAGTAAACCCATTCCCCACATCACTGTCCTAGACCCTACTTACCTGCGTAGAAGTGATAGAAGGGCCACCAAACAGCACTATTTGGGATGTATGTAAGCAGTGATGCCACATAGCCTCGATAGAAGCCTCGAAGTCCATCAGTCCGCAGGATCTGCCTGATGATGTCCTTGGTTTGGCCAAAAGCAACTACCCTTTGTCCCTCTAGGTCTCCACGTACCTGGAAACGGCCCATTTTCTCACCCTTGCGCTGCATCATCAGGTGCTGGGAGACCACATCTATAGGCACCGTGATGCTCTGGGCCACCAGGGAAGCTGAGCCACCAGCCACCAGCGACTTGACTGTGTTGCTCTGGCTGTAGTCAGCTACAAACTTACGGGTGAGCTCATAAGTGGTAACATAGCACTGACCAGAGATGAGGGTGAAGGTGTTGACCAGGAACCCCCGGTAGAGACCAGTCACACCATCTGCCCGCAGGATCTTGATGAAGGCATCGAACGTCCCATTGTAGAGGCTCTTGCCCTTTTGAACCTGCAGTCGGGTGCGGATGAGGGTGAATGGGTAGACACTGACACGGATCATCATTGTCATTGCCACACCAAATACATAGAACTTCTTCTTGTCCAGGTGTTCCCATTCAATGATCTGGATGTTGCGTTTGTCCTCCATTGCACCTGAAGACAAGGGGATTTGAACAGGTGGAGCGATGTGAACAGTAAGAGGTCAAGACTTTCTCTTTCCCTTCTATCTAAGACTTTATCTCCTGGGACACTCGACTCCATACAGCTTAGACTTCAACCAGCCTGGCTCTACCAAACCCTGCCTGAGTCTTTCTTTCTCAATTATGATGCTATTCCTTATCTCTCCTTGACCTGTTCTTCCCAGCTCAGCTCCATTTCTACAGAAATCGTTTCTCACCTCGGTGACTCCCTGGTTCTACTACCCCCATCCTATAGGATTGTCTGTCCTTACTCCCTGGTCTGCCCGGGCCCTGATAGTATAGCCCTGGGCAAGGACCACTTTCCTTCTCTGGCTCATCCAGGTACAGCTCAGGATGCTGTGGACAAACTGACCACCTGGCAGGATGCAGGGCCTTTAAGTAGGTTTCTGAGGTGTCAGTAAGTGACACTGAAGAGGCCCACTGAGGCAGCACTACCTTTGGCCCTTTATCCTCAATAGGCTGCCTCTCTTATCACCATTTATATCTGACTCACTCCACTTTATTTCTAGCTTTGAGTGCTGGCCCCTATAAGCTCCCCTGACCCACAACCCACACTTACTATACTTCTCATATTTTCTCCAGCTGACATTAGAAGAAAGTGTAAGGAAGAGGGAGCTTTCACATCACAGAGCACCCCCTACCATCTCCTCTCCCTTCAATGAAAGGAGTTAGAAAGTTAGGAACAGGCCAAAGGTCAGGGTCCTCTTTGGTTATTAGATAACTCACACCAGAAAAAGACAGAAAAGAACCACCTGAGAGTTAAGTAGTTTCTCTGTGAAGTCTTGAGAACTATAGGGTAGAAGGTACGTTTTACCCTTTTCATCCCTAAACATATAAGCCACCACTTCAGTCCTAGATAATGAAGGGAGATTCAAGTGACAAAGAAGATACAGACTCCACTGAGAAACTCAGTGTTTGTTCAAGAAGACATAGTAACTCTCCAGGGAATGGACATAAAATACAGAGATAAAGAAGCTGGGGGAAATTAATGTATATGGGACCCTAATGTTAACTGTATCCATTACCTAAAATTTCAAACAAAGTTAATATGGTTAGTAATTTAATAGTTGTATAAAACCAGAAGCTTCCAACCTAGGAAATGTCAAACCAGAGAACATCACACATTGGACATACACTTAGTGGTAACGTGCTCCAGGGTAGCCCACCCCTGCTCTGTAGGATACTGGAAATCTTCAGTTAGAGAGAAAAGTAGGAAGTTAAATTCCAGAAGTAGGTAGTCAAGGGCTCCCTAGGCTTTGAGAAAAATCCCTAAGGGCTGGGAAAGGTGGTGGCCACATCCCAAGGATAACTTTAAAAAACACCAAACTCACGGCCATCGAGTTGATTCCAATTCATAGTGATGCCCATTGGCTTTCCAAGGCTGTAAATCTTTATAGAAGCAGATTGCTTCATCTTTCTTCCATGGAGTGGCTTGTACATTTGAACCACTAACCTTCTGGTTAGCAGCCAAATGCTTTAACCACTACATCACCAGAGCTCCTTAGGGACAACTCCAGAGAGCTGGAAGGTTCTGACAAGCAGCTCTAGTGCCAGTGCTGTGGCAAACCTCATGCCAAGTGGTTAATCAGTCTGTCCTCAATCACCTTCTCCAACCAGAGTTCCCAATCCAGGCTTTAGGTAGCTTCTGTTCCATGGAACTGCTCTTGCTTTACCATGGCAGTCAGTGAGGAAGTGAGGTTGGCTTTTTAGAAATCCTTATGCTCAACTACATCACTTTCATAAAAGTATAGGCTACCTGCACTGCAAAGTGAGTACATGAGACCTGAGGTTTCCTTCAACATGAAGCCCAGGTTAGATGCAGGTAACTAAAACAGGCTTCCTAGATGAGGATAAAGCAATTTGAAAGAAAGAAGGAATACATGTAGATAGTGAAAGGGAGAGAACAAAAGCATGAACTGAGAAGACAGAAATTACCTAGGTTGGCCAGAATGGGGAATCTGGGCTGTGGAAAATGAGCTAGAGATGGGATTTTGCAGTCAGGAGGAGAACCAATCCTTGGAACACTGATGTGTCACTTGTTGAGGGCAAAGGTGGTACTTCCTCCCCACCTTCAGCCTGGGATACCCACTAAGTCCAGCAGGGCAAACCTCTCCTTGGAGGCCTTTCCAGAGATGGTGGTCACTGTCTCCCCTGTTCTAGGATGTTTGTTATCCAGGCTCCCAGGGTCATGTTTCCAATGCCACTGAGAGGTGAGGAGGGGTAGGGAGACCCTAGGATTTACTGAATATCTACTAACGCATGTCATCCTTACAATTAACATGTGCATGTACAGTTAGACGCTTTTGATAAATGAAGAAACAGAGGGTTAGAAGGTTAAAGTAACCACTTTATGGTCATGCATTCAGCAGGTCAGTGATATAGGAAGATATGAGTCAAGATTTCTCCTCTAAAGCACTCCTCAGCCTCATAGAAGCTAGGGAGCTCCAAAACAAATCTCTCTCTTCAGTCTAAAGCCAAGTCTAAAGCTCATGATTGCTGGTCACCCAAGGGTTAAACATAAGCTCAGGGCCATGCAGATGCCCTGGGACTCCTCTTAGCTTTGTTCTGGAGAAACCTAGAGCTGACTATGTTTCCCGAGTGTGACTGTGGAGTGGCCAAGCTGAGTAGCCAAGCAGGCACATTGCTGTGACAGGACATATACAGCAGGGCTCAAGCAGGAGGGCCTCCTGCTGGGCTCATGTGCTAGGTAGGTAGAGGGACAGAGCAACTGAGAGTCACACAGAGCAGCAAAGGATTCCATTCCAGGACCTGGTCTCCTGCACACCTTCTCATCTTGTCAAGCTGAACCAAAACGTACCAGCACCTCTTGATGAGAAATACTAAGGAGGACCCATTGCCCCATTTGTTATTCTATTTCCCTCATCTCTTACATGTACCAGTCTATTTTAAGGTGGGAGGACACTCTGGGGTGGGTGATTGCCACTATTACCATGATGAGAAGCCACTAAAGGTATGCCTCAGAAGGATAGCTTACTACAGAAAGGGAGAAGGCACTACAATTACCTCCTGTACCCCTCTACCAGGTGGGGACTACTTCTAAAACTCTTTGTTATATAATCTCCAAACTTCCTGATGAAATAGCAAACGGGTTTCTCTTGTTTCACCCTTTGGCAAATCCTCCTTGCAGATATCTGAATGCCAACTTCCTTCAGTCTTCCCTTCTCCCAACTCAGTCAGCCCAATTTTTTTACATCTGCATGGCTGTAATTCTGGATTTTCTCCTATCTTTTAACACTGCTTAGCCACAAAGTTTGAAGAGCTTCCTGTGCTGACCTAGCTGATAACCAGGATCAATGAGCATTTTGTCCTGAAGTCACCATGTAAGATGTCAGAGGCAGAGCCCCCATTACTACCACCACTGGTGGAAAGAGACAAGTGGCTCAGTTATGCACATCTCCTTTCCACTTCCATGATTCTTGCACCATAAAAATCACATTAAGTTCTGAGATAAGATTCTGACTTGGAAGAGGGGACTGCCACCTGGAAGACATGGTCATTCAATGAAAAGAATACTAGTAATCATGAGATTTACTAGTGTGTAACTGTAACCAAGTCATTTCATTGAAACTCAGCTTCCTCATCTGTGAAATGGGGCTAATAAAGCCTGCAACAGCTGTTTAACAGTTGTGATGTAGCTCATATGAGCTAATTTTTGTGAAAGCATTTTGTTATCAATAAAATATTTTTGTCATTGGAGAAAGTTCTATTGGACAGTGCTGCTCTAAATCCTTGCTACTCTGAGTGGTCTACAGACTGCAGCATGGGCATCACTTGGGAGCTTTCTGGAAATGAAGACTCTTACTTGCTGAGTAAGAACCAACATTTTAACAAGATCCCCAAGTTATTTACGTATTTGTCAAAATTTGGGAAGCACTGCTCTAAATATGAAAGACTATTGGTATCATGATTATTCTGCTCACCTCTACCAGTCCAGAACCATTATGACTTGGTTAGGAGCCCTATGACTCCCTTCTGACTTGTCACCAGAATTGGGCCCAAGGATGACCACTTGTTCCATTCTGATTCTAACAGCTGACCACACCCACCAAGCAAGACACCCATGGGACTGTCTTCACTTCTCAACTGGAAACAAGGAGAATAGAGACCAGGATCATCTTCTCTCTCTGTTCTCCCCATTGCATCTGAATCAAGGTATGCATCTTGGGAGCTATCTCCCATGTGAACTTACAGACTTGCCCACTTATTGATTATACACTTCCCCATGCCATAGAACATCCCTGGTGATGGCAGGGATACATTTGTCCTATTGAACATGCATTTCCCTACTTGAGGTTCCTGGTGATACCTGTTATCTCCTTCGAGATAATCTCCTCCTGCAGACATGATAAGATTCCCACCCAGCTTTCTTTTAGTCTTTCATAGGTAGCCACGTGATCCCTCATCACAGACACCACATGACAATCCTCTCTACACACTCCATGTGACACCACCTTTATGTAGCTTCAGTCGTGGCCCACAGCACAACGGCCTCTGGGTCCTTGGGCACGCCTCCTCTCTCCATGCTTCTTGCGTTGTCAACAAACCTCATGCCCCTCAGTCAAAAAGAGATGCCCTCACTGGGGTCATCCTTCAATCCCAAAGCTGCGTGGTGGCTCCCACAGCACTGCACCAGAACACCGCAGGCATCACTGCTTCCTAGACAAGTACGGTCCTCAGAGACTCTAGTGCTCAAGTACTCCAAGCTGAAGCCTAGTTTCTTACCTTCTCAGCCGCGTCTGAGGCGAACTGCAAGCCTGGATCTCTAGGCCGCAGCTCCGACTCTAACCTCCATTCCCACCGACTGCCCGCCGCCGGTCGCATCTTCCATCTCGACCGGGCTCCCGGTACTGCCGGAACCGGAAGTTGTGTCACGTTCGTTCCTACCCTCTGCGTGAAGGGGGGGGATGAGCGATGGACAATTACACCAATGGAG